TCATTGATTATGCAAAGGCATTTGACTGCGTGGATCATAACAAACTGTGGCTGACTCTGAGAAGAATGGGAATCCCAGAACATTTAATCGTGCTAATGCAAAACCTATACTTGGACCAAGAGGCAGTCGTTAGAACAGAGCAGGGCAACACAGCATGGTTCAAAAATCATCTATGTATCAGCTATAATATCCCTAGTGCCACGGCCTCTTCTAAATATAACCTGCACTTCAGGCAGTTTTCTGTTGATGTGCTGTTCCAGTCATTTTTGGATAATCTTCAGCAGAATCTTGCTTGCATGTGGTATCAATGATACTGTTCGGTAATTTCCACATTCTGTCGGATCACCTTTCTTTGGAATGGGAACAAATAAAGATCTGTTCCAGTTAGCAGGCCACGTGTTTGTCCTCCATATTTCTTGGCACAACTTGGTGAGCACATCCAGGGCAGCATCTGTTTGTTGAAATATGTCAATCGGTATGCCATCAATTTCTGGGGCCTTGTTTTTTGCCAATTCTTTCAGAGTAGAGTGAGCTTCTTTAATTTTGGAGTTCAGAGGGCAGCACAGGGACAGAAGGGAGGAGCCAGAGGGCACAGCATGCGTGGACTAAAGTCTCTCAGTGATCCCCACACCATGCAGGTACAAAAACCTATGAATCTCAGAAGTCGTGGGTCAAGGCCACCTTTAAATTTTGCACCCCAAGGGTAGAAGGCAACTCTATAGGATTTATCAACCTCCCCTGGAAAACTCGTGTAGCATAAATTGAGGAGAAGAAGCCCTTGAGCACAAGAGTAATCCTGGAACAGAAGTTTAAAACTCCTGAAGTCAAGAGATACTGCCTGCAACGGAAGAAACTGCTGGGAGCTTGAGGCATTAGGAATCACAGAAGCCCAGAAAGATTGATTTCAAGGGCTGGAAAGGGGAGACTGTTGTTGAATGGAGTAGGTGGGAGTAGATGCAAATGCTGGTGGAGCAGGGAAAGGGGGTGGCTCAAAACACACCTGACAAGTGTGGGGACGACACAGAGCCTATTATTTTTTACTACTGGGGAATATCTTTAATCTGCTCTTTTCTGTAAAATGCTTGTCTGTCAGATAATGTTCTAAATCTGAGCAATCAAAGTAAGACAGACTAGGAAGATGGATTGGCCATCCACTTGTGAAACAGCAGGCCTTGGAAAACCCTATGTACAACAGAGCACGCTTAGATTAGCAGAAATGGCAACTGAGGCTGAGCCCTCAAGTATGGAAACAAATAGAAGGAGGAACAGCTGTAAGCAGACACTAGTGATTGGATGGAACATGGAATGGAAGAACCCTGAAGGTAGGAAAATTGGACATTGTTAAGAAACAGAACACATAAATATTGACATAGTAGGTACTGGAGAAATGAGATGGACTGGCATGGGACATTTTGAGTCAGGGGATCATATGATCTACTATGCTGGAGATGAAAAGGTGAGGGAAAATTGGGGTTGCTTTCATAGTAAAAAATTTAATTACAAGGATATAAGATTCATTATGGGGAAAAAATGAGCAGTATGGCAGTTTATTAACCAGCAGTATGTTCCAAAATGATTAAAACTATGACACTGACTTATTTCAAAATCCAAGAAAAGGGTTCATAATTGAGTACCTACACTTTTTGAGTTATGGTACCGGAAAACGAGTACTAAATATCCCATAGATGTGAAAGGAAATGTATTGGGAAAAGTGCAACCAGAGTGCTTCCAGGAGGCAAAGACAGCAAAGTTTTGTTTCCCATACATTGGACATGGTGCTAAGGGAAGCTATTTATAAAATACATAATGCTCAGAAAAAATGGAAGGTCAGCGAGGGAGAAGATGGACTGACTGCAGCAATGAGCTCAAGTGTGTCAGAGATGACAAGGATGGCACATGATTACATAAAGTTCAGGTCTGTTGTTTATGGGGTCACTATAAATCAAACTCAACTTGAAGACACCCTACAACAACCTAACAACAATTTGGAGGGGAAAAAAAATTATACTAAGGTACCAATCTAAAACCTCACTGCCAGAAAGTCAAATCCAACTCGCAAGAAACCTTGGCCGGGCTTTTAAGATTGTAAATTATTATGAAAGGAGACACCTTTTCTTTCTCTCACATCAACTGGTGGTTCATGAAACCCCAGGTCTTATAGTTAACAGCTCACTAAACCCTAAATATCAGGATATTTTATCAAGAGCTAGTTTTATATCATTGTAAAATACCTGGAGCAAAAGAAGAACACTGAAAAGAGATCTGTAATAAAACTATCAGCTATGAAATGAGGACAGTGGATGTGGTTTAAGGCTGTTTTATCCACTAAATCTTGAAATCTTTTGGTTCTACAATCTATGGCCAAATGACAATTATTTTGAAAGTGAACCCTCTAGTGGTACAACTGAATATCTACAGTTTTATGATTCATTAATCATACATCACTCAAGGAGGGAACCCTAAAATACCACGTTGAGGAAGCCCTCAAATATTTTAACTTTCAATTAATAAAAATATAAGCAATTCTGCCAGTAACTCTATCACCAAAGAACAGTTATCTCCAATCTTAGAGCTTAGTGCTTTATTGAGTATTTAAATTAATGGACTGTAAAGGGTTTGAGGACAAACAAAACTGACTTTTAATCTCTGAGTTGCCTGGTAGTTGTGAGCATTCCGTGTGCCATGGGTAAGAGTAAAGAATGGGCTTCTCAAGCTGGTACTATTGACAGTTTCAGACTAATAATTCTTTGTTGGAACAGGCTATATTAGTTTCTGAAAGTTGATAAAAATTTACCACTAACTTAGTGGCTTAAAACAACAAAAATTCATTTTCTTTAGGTCTGGAGGCCAAAAATCTGAAATCCATTTCACTGGGTCACAGTCTCTCTTGAGGTTCTAGAGAAGAATCTGTTTCATGACTCATTCAGCTTCTGGTAACTGCTATCACCTCCTAGCTTGTGGTCAAATCACGCCTATCTTCAATGCCAATATCTGCAAATCTCTCTTTGCTCTACCTTCATAGTCTCCTCTCTGTCACATCTCCCTCTACCTCTCTTATTAGTACCTTGGGATTATATATTTAAGGGTATATTTGGATAATCCAGGAAAACTTCTCTATTTCAAAATCCTTAGATTAATCACATCTTCAAAGATATTCTATTTCGCTAATTAAAGACTTAGCTATGTTGTTGTTGTTCTTGTTATGTGCCATCGAGTTGTTTGCGACTCATAGCGACCCTATGTACAACAGCCCTAAACCCTGCTCCATCCTGTGCCAATCTCATTGCCTCTGACACTCCCATTCCGATTACCCCAGTCACTGAATCAATACCCCTCAAAGAGGGCCATCCCCTCCTGTGCTGTCCCTCCACTCTACCCAGCAGGATGTCCCTCTCTAAAGACCTGTCTCTCCTTACAACATGTCCAAAGTATGTCAGACGAAGCCCCAGAATCCTTGCCTCCAAGGAGCAGCCTGGTTTAATCCTCTCTACAATGAATCTGTTTGTTTTCTTGGCAGTCCATGGTATTCAATACTCTCCTCCAGCACCACAGCTCAAAGGCGTCAATTTTTCTATCCTCCCTAGTCATTGTCCAACTCTCTGATGCATAACAAGTGACTGCAAAACCATGGCCTGTATCAGGCGGACCTTAGTCTCCATAGAGACACTGTTGCTCTTGAGTATTTTGGAGAGGTCCCTAACGGCAGACTTTCCCATCGCAATACGTTTTTTGATTTCCTGGCTACTGGTGCCAAGAGTGTTGACTGTGGAGCCGAGCAAACTGAAGCTGTGAACAATCTCATTCTCCTTGCCATCCATCCTGATGCTACCAATAGGTCCAGTGGTGAGAATTTTTGTCTTCTTGACATTGAGCCTCAGTCCATATTGAAGGCTACAGTCCTTGACCCTCTGCAGCAAGTGCATGAGGTCCTCCTCAGTTTCAGCGAGCAAGGTTGTGTCATCTGCATAACGCAGATTGTTGCTAGATTGTCCACCAATCCTAACGCCACGCCTCTCCTCATAGAGCCCCGCCTCTCAGATAATCTGCTCTGCATACAGGTTGAAAAGGTGTGGAGACAGGACACATCCCTGACGTACACCCTTCCCAATTTTGAACCATGCAGTGTTGCCCTGCTCTGTTCTGACAACTGCCTCCTGGTCCAAGTATAGGTTTTGCATTAGCACGATTAAATGTTCTGGGATTCCCATTCTTCTCAGAGTCAGCCACAGTTTGTTATTTCTATTTATTTTGGGGGTGGGGGGATTTTTAGTCAATCATTAGGCTGTCCCTATACAGAGCAGTTAGTAGCATTCTTCCCTTGAAGCACTATATCAGTAGCAATGGCACTTCCACTGCCATGTGACAGCCAAAATCGTATCCTGACCAGCCAAAATCTTCCAGAACACCAGCCTTCATTATAACAACCAACAAAATCCTTAGCAAATGACATAACATTCATTCATTATTAACTCATCTACAAAACTGAAATTCTAAATTTACACATTATCGTTAATTAGACCTTTTTCAGAATGTATCGTGTATCTCTGAACACTTTTAAAGGTCCTTGTTCAGAATATCTAATTCAGAAGTTGATTAAATTACTACTCTCCGGTGGAATAGTGGTAAGGAGTTGTGTTATTAACCTAAAGGCATAAGGTTTGAATCCACCAGTTGTTTCATGACAGAATGATGGACAATCTCCTCCCATACAATTAACAGCCCCTGAAAACAGAGTGGATAATCAGCCAGGAGTTGGGTCCTACTCAATGGCACATAACAACAAAAATTCTGTACAAAGCTACTTCCTTTCATGTACCTTCTATTCTGCATCTAAACTTCATGTTAAATGCCCAGATAATATTTAGAAAATGGCTTTACAAAAGAAGAACATTTTGTTTACTTACTTTTCATTATATCTAGTAACTGTGACAAGCAAGTTCTGTTATCTTTCAGCATAAGGCACTCTGATAAATAGCTGGCAAAGAAAAGAAGATAGGTTTGTAGTTTGCAAAAAAAAAATCAAAACATAAAACATCTTAAAAATATGACACTAAGTTACTTTCTTGTTCATTTAATCAAGGACAATTTTTAAATTATTTTTAATGTACTGTATAAAACTGTAATTTACAACTATATGTTATAAATGTACTATAGCTTTAATAAAAAATGTTTACTGTTCAAAATTACTGAATTTCTATAATCGAATTCTTGATTTTGATTCTTTAATATTATGCATTTTGTAGGAACAGTCAATATACCATGCTGTTATGTTGAAGCCAGTATGTCTTACAGCAACCCTATGAACAAGAGATCTGAACTCTGTCCTGTCCTACATCATCGTCCTCATCGTCTCTGACACATCTGAGCGCACTGATGCAGTCACCATTACAAACCATCTCACTGAGTGTTGTCCTCTCTTTGACTGATCCTCTTCACCTTTCCAAGGAATAACTCCTCCTAACAACGTTCCCAAAGTATGTACAACAAAACATTGTCATTTACTGACTGTACTTTCTCTAAGATATTATCTGTCCTTTTGGCTGTCCATGGGATATTCAGTACACTCTTCCCAGACCACAACTTAAAAGCATCAATTCTTTTGTCATTCTAATTCATTGTCCTGCTCTCAACTGCACAAAAGATATGGGTGTGTGGTTGTTGTTTTTTTTTTAATTTTCTACTAGTTTATTTACAAAATTCAAATACATTGTTTTCAAAAACAAATTCTTTCATTTCCCACATCCTCCTCATCAAATTGTACAACCCCATGATTAACCCCCCTCTCCCCTGGCACGTCCTCATCCCTCTGCTTCCAACCTCTCCCACCCCTCCTGGATCCTTATACTCATTCTATAATAATGGGTTTAAACAATATTTATCCTTGTGAAGCTGAGTCCAGTTCATTCAGCATAATGCTCTCCAGTCCCTCCCAAGTTAGGTAATAATTTACAAAATCATTGCTCCTTCATAGTATTCCACTATGTGAATGTACCATAATTTCTCGATCCATTCACTTGTGGTTGGACATTTGGGCTATTTCTATGTTCTTGCGATGGTGAATAATGCTGCTATGAACACTGGTGTACAAATATACTTGTTTCTCAGACCTAATTTTCTCAGGTTATAAATAGTGTTATTGTTTTTAGTTGCCATAGAGCTGAGGATGGCTCACAGCAATCCTATGAACAACGAATCTGAACCGCGTCCTATTCTGTGCCAACCTTGAGTCCAGTGCTGCTGTCATTGTGTCAATCCCTGTGGCTGATGGTATTCCTCTTCTTTACTGTCCCTCCACCTTTCCAAGCATGATGCTCTTCTACCAGGAATAACTTCCCCTAACAACATGCTCAAAGTATGTGAGATGAAGCTTCCCCATCCTTGGCTCAATGGAGCACTCTGATTGTACTTTCTATTTGTTCTTTTGGAAATCCATGGGATATTCAGTACTCGTCTCCAACACCATAGTTCAAAAGCATCAATTCTCCTAGCAGCACAGTGATTGAAAAGACCATGGTCTGAATCAGGCACATCATAGTATTCAACTAACATCACTGCTCTCAGTAATCAGGAGAGTTCCCGACTGCTTATTTTCCCAGTGCAAAACATCTCCTGACTGCTGGTATAAAGTGTACAGATTGTGGATCCAAGAAAGATGAAATCATTGACAGTTTCAATCTTTTTTCCACGTATCTTGAGGTTGCCTATTGGTCCAGTAGGGAAAATTTTCATTTTCTTGATGTTGAGATGCAATCCATAATTGAAGGTTGCATTTTTTGATCTTCGGTAAACAAATGGTTCGAGTCCTCCTCACTTTCAACAAGCAAGGTTGTGGCATCTGCTTACTGAAGATTGGTGTTCTGTACTGTTGAGTCGGCTGCAACTAACAGCGACCCTATGTGCAACAGCCCTAAAACCCTGCTCTATCCTGTGCCAATCTTACTATCTCTTGGCACACCTATCCCCACAACCCCAGTCACTGAATCAATCCATCTCATCGAGGGTCTTCCTCTCTTGTGCTGTCCCTCCCCACCCAACCAAGCATGACGTTCATCTCCAAGGACTCATCCCACTTTGCAACATGTCCAAAGTATGTTGGGCAAAGCTTCAGAATCCTTGCCTCCAAGGAGCAGCCTGGCTTCCCCCTCTCCAGGACAAACCTGTTCGTTCTCTTAGCAGTTCATGGTATATTCAATACTCTTCTCAAACACCACAGCTCAAAGGCATCAATTCTCCTTCTATCCTCCTTAGTCATTGTCCAGATCTCTGATACATAGCAAATAATAGCAAAGACCATGGCCTGGATCAGGCGCACCTTAGTTTCCAGACTGACATCACTGCTCTTCAATACTTTGAGGAAGTCTCTGACAGCAGACTTTGCCATTGCAATACGTCTTTTAATTTCCTGGCTGCTGGTGCGAAGAGTGTTGATTGTGGAGCCAAGCAAATTGAAGCTATTAACAATCTCAATCTTTTCACCCTCCATCATGATGCTGCCAATCAGCCCAGTGGTGAGCATCTTTGTTTTCTTGATGTTGAGCCTCAATCCACAATGAAGGCTGTAGTCCCTGACCTTCCGTAGCAAGTGTTTCAGGTCTTCCTCAGTTTCAGCAAGCAGGGTTGTGTCATCTGCATAATGCAAACTGTTGATGAGTCTTCCTCCAATCCTGATGCCACATTTCTCCTCAGAGATAGAGCCCAGCCTCCCAGATAATCTGTTCTGCATATAGCTTGGAAAGGTACTGACGATTAGTCAAATTAATTAGAGACTCTGCAAATGAAGTGACTTTGGACCACCAAGGGAACACGATGAGTCCAAGTCATTCTTTGAAATTCACAGCAAGTTTGCTTATATATGTACCTAACACCCGAGATTTCAGAAGGAAAATAGAACAGAAAAATGAGGTGTAAGAAGAGAGAAAGCAAACAAACTCTTAAAAGGAGTTCCGGCACAGGTCAAGGGCTATTAACAGCTAGACAGCAAGAGGCCTGGAAGGGGGTCCTACAGCCGAGCTGGGGGAGTGGGAGTGCACAGGCTCAGGAGGAGTCCTGTGGCAGTCAACTATGACAGCAGAAAAATGCTAGGACTACAGCTAAGAGAGCTGTACAAAGAGGGCTGCTACACTAGCTACTTGCTATGGTTTGAGCTAGCATTAACGAGGATGGTAGCAGGAAGTCCTTCACAGTGAAGAGGATGAAGAAAGGCCAAAAAGTCTGTCTTGAAGGAGCTAAGAGGAGTCATGAAGGTCCACAAGCCTGTCGTAAAGCAGCCAAGAAGTCTGTCCTTGGGTGGGGATACAGTGGGGGGGCTTATAGGATGTTTGCTTAGCCTGGAGGGGACACATATGGCAAAGTAGAACTTGCCTGCCTACATGCTTGAGAAGCTGAGAGTTACTCTGTATTGAGGAAGGCTCCACATCAGGAGAGCCTTCCAGACTCTGCCTATATGCTTTCTGATCCTGGGCTGCTATGAACAGTCTCTTAATCCTGATCTGCTTCTTGTTACTTCTCTACAAACTCCATTAACCATCATAATATTATTGTCTGTGAGTTTGGTATGGCCTCTACAATGTACTACTCCACTCAAAAGAGAAGTAGACTGTACTGTGGGAGGACAGCTGGTGTTAGAAGAGGTAAGAATGTTAAGAGTGTAGAGGTAAGAATGTTAAGAGTGTGAAAGTATGTCTGATCTTCATTTCATAAGAATCATATCTGTGTGGATCATGATTCTGTTTCTTCTTCCTCGCAAAGTTACAGGATTTCAGGCACTGACAGAACAATTCAACTAATGCATTCCTCATCCTCTGTACTTGAAAATAACCAAGTTAGTCTTTTCCCTTTGCACTCTAAAACTACATACTTTCATATTTTCTTTTACTTGTTTTTATTCTTCCTTTTCTTTACTTGTAAGATTTTTTAAAAATTGTGATTTTAATGAGTCTACAGAAAAGCTCATTGTTGCATATTTTTCTCCCTACCCACCCAGTTCATTAAAAAAAAATCATCCATTGTTGCATAATTTCCTCCCCCCTCCCCCAATCCATCTGCCATGCAACTCTTATTCTAGACTATAGCCATACAATCATATACTCCCTTTTAACAGTTCTTTCCTTCATCTGTTCCAATTGCAGTGTTCATTATTTATCCCCTCTTTTCTTAGTTTCTCCCAACCCCCATGTCAGTCCTGCTGTATAACAGTGGTGTTATACAGTATTTGTCCTTTTGTGACTGAGATATTTTACTCAGCATAGTGTCCTCCGGGGTTGCTGACGTTGTATATTTTTAGTCCTTTGTTTTTTAGTACTGTGTAGTATTCCATTGTGTGAATATACGATAGTTTTTCTATCCATTAATTTGTTCATGGAGACTCAAGTTGCTTTCATCTTTTGGATATTGTGAATAAACATTAATAAACATGGGTGTGAATATATGTTTGGGTAGCAGCCCTGGTTTTCTTCAAGGTATATTCCTAGTAATGCAATTACTAGGTCAAATGGTATTTCTATTTCCAACTTTTAGAGAAAGCATTCTTTTCATTTTTTAAGCATAAAAGTGGTACATCTGGTTCTAAGAGGTAATCAGGTATCTACCTCTGTGAAGATTTTAAATTAGTAATTTTTTTTTATCTCAATTCTTGAATTAAAATTTTGATTCTTTTAAATTTTTTTAAATCTATAGACAAGCAAGAGTATAAAAAGTGACAAACTATAAAGTGAGAAAAATGACTGGATACACTATGAACTACACTGCCAGGGTTCTTTCAAGATGGGTATAGTAATAATATTCAATAAATCTTAATAAGATATTGTTGTAAGAAGTAAGTTAATTCAATTCATGTAACGTGCTTATCACAGAGCCTTGGTCTCAATATGAATGTATATATTGGGTATTACTATTTATGATTCAGTTACAGTTTCTTTGGAACCTGCCCTATAGCATTACTCATTACACAAATGTTTACTGTACGTTTATGTGCCACATACTGAACACAACAGCAGGGGGAAATGATGAAACAAAGCAAACATATGTGATTCACTCAAGTTGCTGACCAGTCTAAAATTTCTAAATCTGCCATACTCTGCTGGTTATTATCAGTTTTTTACAAGCTCACCTACTTTACTTTTACTTTAGTCCTAAATGTGTTCTCTAAGCTCAAAGAGCTTGTTTTAAAAGTTTAAAGATGTTCTTAGAAACAATTTCATTTATACCCTCAGTCACCCTTACCAATCCTTCAGTCCTAAATGTACCTTTCTTAAAAATGGAGATTCTGTGGACCAGAAAACAGAGTGAATGAAGTCTGATCTAATTAGAAGACAAATGAATACCTTTCCATGGTAATTCCAGCCCTTGAGGCACTCGATAAAATGGCAGTCAAGGCAATTTGGGAAGGTGTGTATAAAAGGTAAGCATCTGTCAATGCCACTCTATTAAGAAAGTCATCAGCTGTTTTCCTCAAAATTTCTGGGTTCTCCAACATGGGATAACGAGTCTAGAAAGAAAGCACACAAATGTTACCATTTCTGAAGGTCTAATGAAGGAACAACATGCAAATATTTATCTTAAGAAAAGTGGAGTGGGGGTAGAATGGGAGGGGTGGAGTGTTAATCATAGGGTTATACAACTTGATGGGTGGGTGGGGTGAATGAAATGGGAAGGATCTTTTGTGAAAATAATTTATTCAAACTTTATAAATAAATCAGTATATTAAAAAAAGAGAAGTGCTTACTGCAGAATGCTTTTAAAACAGCAACTCTGTTTGCCTTAAGACGACGTAATCTTTGCATGTAAGATTTTCTTATGCTAAACTTTAGAATATGGCTCAAGTATAATTACTAAATTCTGAATGTTTTAGTAGTTTGTTTTTACATATTATCCTTTAGTTTAGTTGCTTTCAAACTTTTATGAGCACAAACCACAGTAAGATATATATGCTTTAAGATAACATCATCTAAAATTCCTAGCACAGTACTTTACAGGAGGCTCAATTTACATTACTCCATTCTTTTTGTCCTGTTTTCACCTGAGAAAAAAGTGAGAGGTTCCTGAGAATTTGATTATGTATGAAGTAGAGTGGAAAGATTTGTATATCCAGTTAAAATTTTCTCACACAATCCAGGTGATAAATTAGGCCGTATTTAGAAACCACAGCAGTACTTCAATTAGGTTTGAAATGTCTTCTACTTAGTCTACCTTTGGAATGAAGGCTACCTGCAATGATTCTACTAAGCTAAAAGCAAACCCAACTCATTATTACACTATCAGACCGAGTTAACCTAACTTCTAAAGCTGTGATACTTAGCAAAGCTAACCGCCACATCTTTCTCCTGTGGAGAAGTCAAGCACCTGAATCACCACACCACCAGGGATTCTAAAGAATCTATTCAAATGAAAAGCAAAACTCACTGTCACTGAGTCAGTTAACCCCTTCACTGGGTTTTCAAGGCTATAAATCTTTATAGCAAAGAATGACCATCTTTCTAATGAGAAACTATTGGTAGACTTGAACAGCTAATCTTTAGGCTGGCTGGCCTATCTGCCATCACATGAAGCCACTAGGCTTCCTCATAAATCTATCAGACTTCCAAAATACCTACAGAATTATTATTATTTGAACAGGTGTTTGTATTTGTGTTAAATGCTAACTTTGTAATGAAGACTTATATTCTGTATTTTGCATTTAACTTAAGATTCTTTTCACTGACTTCCTTTTGCACTATTCAAAATCTTTAACATTAGCTCAACAATCTAGCCTCTTTTTACATCAGGTTGCACTCCATACCACTCTCCTGCCTGCATCTCTAATCTGCTTATATGTATCATGATTTCTTGAATATAGGATTCTGACCAGGTGTTGTTGATGTTGTTATGAGCCACTGAGTCGTTTGCGACTCATAGTGACCCTATGTACAACAGCCCTAAACCCTGCTCTATCCTGTGCCAACGGCATTGCCTCTGACACACCCATCCCGATTACCCCAGTCACTGAATCAATCCACCTCATACAAGGTCTTCCCCTCCTGCGCTGTCGCTCCACTCTACCCAGCATGATGTCCCTCTCTAAGGACCTGTCCCTCCTTACAACATGTCCAAAGTATGTCAGATGAAGCCCCAGAATCCTTGCCTCCAAGGAGCAGCCTGGTTTAACCCTCTCAAGGATGGATCTGTTTATTTTCATGGCAGTCCACGGTACATTCAATACTCTTCTCCAGCACCACAGCTCAAAGGCGTCAATTCTCCTTCTATCCTCCCTAGTCATTGTCCAACTCTCTGATGCATAACAAGTGATTGCAAAGACCATGGCCTGTATTAGGCATACCTTAGTCTTCAGAGAGACACCATTGCTCTTGAGAACTTTAAAGAGGTCCCTAACAGCAGACTTTCCCATCGCAATACGTTTTTTGATTTCCTGGCTGCTGGTGCCAAGAGTGTTGACTCCGTGGAGCCGAGCAAACTGAAGCTGTGAACAATCCCAATGTCTTCGCCATCCATCCTGATACTACCGACTGGTCCAGTGGTGAGAATCTTTGTCCAAAACCTGTTCAAGTGCTGTCTCCAGCCCAAGAAGTCTTATAAACGTTTCCAACAAATTATGAGTCCATCTTCCATGGAAACTCTTCCCCTACCTAATTCCTACTCTGGCCCTGAAACTCATTTTAACGTTTTTTAAAAATATCTTCCCACAGGACAGAGCGGAGTTTAGGGTGCATAGGGTCGCTATGAATCGCAAGCGACTCGACGGCACATAACGACAACAACAACATCCTTAATCTATATCCTTGCTAAATGCTCTCATATTCATTGTCATTGAGTCAGAACTAACCCGTAGTTGACTCCCCAGTTGGTTTTCAGAGGCTATAAATAGCATTAGAGATTGTTGATGTTTCTCTTGTGGGGCTGCTGGTGGATTCAAACTGCCAGAAAGGGGCTGACTTCAAGTTAGCAGCATAATTTCGTATAGACTATGCCACCAGAGCTGCCTAAATGCTTTCATGTTATTATGTCAAGCCATAGCTAATCCTCTAGGAAGTTTTCAGAGACTAGATCACATGGAAGGAGAATGCATCTTTCTCTCCGGCAGTAGCTGGTAGATTCAAACCGCATGCTTTTGTGTTGGTAGCACAACTTCTTCCCGTTAAGCCACTAGAGCTCTCTTTAGTTGACCACAGTATCTTTTCTTTCCTGCTAAGCAGCACTCAGTATCTGTTAACTGCCTCATTATACCAAACAGTCCACAAGTCTGTTTTCTTTCTGGCTATGTTACTGAGTACAGAGTTTGGTAAATAGAAGGTATGCAAATTGAGTTGCTCCACTGAGCTAACTCAAACAGTTTCTGACTTTTTATTTTGGTTTTCTTTATGGACTGCTCAATTATAAACTACAGAAGTACTGTCCAACAGTTTGTTAACAAGATCTCACAGAATTCTAATCCACACTGAAACTCAAAAAGTATTGCCCTAGGGATCCAGGGCATACACACATTTTAACTTAGTCCATGTTGCAAAACCTTAGATTACAAGTTTAAATACAATTTTGGATTCTTCCAGTTAAAGCAATAGCAAAGAAATACATTTGATTACATATTACAACATATTTACCTTTAAATCAATAAGGAAGCCCTCGAATGGTCTATATGGATTGTGAACAATAAGGTGGAAATTAAGTTGCTGTATAAGTAGTAGTTCATATTCCAGTATCTGTTCAAGTGCCTTTTCCTGCCCTAGAGGACTCTCTCTAAGGTTTCCAACAAACTGTGGACTAGATACATTGAATTCATCTACTTTACAGGCTAGAAATGCACAAGTGAGCCTAAGGGGGGGAAGAAAAAAAAGAGTTGGTACAGTGAATGTGACTATACACTAAAAAATATTTCATTTTTACAAACACTTTCTAAAACTGCATGATATTCATTTGACAATGATATTATACAATGCAGGGCTGAGGGGGAAAAAGACAGTTACTCTCTAAATTGTTTATCTATTAGGAAATATATGGCAAACTATAAAATCAGGTCAATCCATGTAACGTTATTATTCAGCCATTACTGACTTAATGGTAGTTTTATATAATTAAACCTAAATCTCTGGAAAAACAAAATAATGCAAAGAGTACTCTGTGTCATGAAAAGTAGATGGAAGAAAAACAACCCAACTATATATATGTAACACAACATGAGTGTAAGAAGTATAAAACTAGAAAGGCAGGACTGAGAAACAGTGGAAGAACATCAGCAGAAGTCTTCAAGTGCATGTGAGCAGGGAACTAGTATCTCAGATACAAATCTACAAAACCAACCTGACCACTCTATGACGTTTAGAACAAGAAATCACCACAAAAACATACATTAGAAGAAACAACACCTGACCTAGACTGGTGGAAAGAAGAATAAAGAAATGAACAAGAAGTATAGTAAATTCTTTAAAGAGTTTCAGGAATCAAATATAAAGTAGAGCACAATAGATCTTTGTAGAATTTAAGTGAATAAAGCCACAGGATTTGTAAACAGATAGCATATGAAGGGAGAAGAGTTACCACAAACGATTCTGAGTCTCAGCAACTGGAAGAACAAAATCACTACCTAACAAAAGAGATATTTAAAGAAGTAGCTAGTTTGAGGAAGAAGTTAATTAGAATTTAGGCAATTTGAAGTTCTAATGTTTTCAGGATTATAGGAAGAGAAGTATAATGGGGAAATAGGAATCTTAAAAAGTTAAACACAAAATACGAAATCTAAGCCTTCATTACAAAGTCAGTATTTAACACAAATACACACACCTCTTCAAATTATGTACAAGTATTCATAAATGATATTAATAAATTAGATTTATACTCACATTATTATGCGAGGGTGATATTCCATTACTGAGTTATTAAGATAGAATCTTTTGAAATACATACATGCTGTACCCTAAGATTAAAAAAAAAAAAATAATCACAATACACTCACACATTACATTTATGAAAAAATATACATAGGATTTTTTTGTACATGCCTTCCATACATATATCAACAATTAATAAAAAATAATTATGATGAATCACTACAGAAACATATAGCCAGAAGTCCCTTTTGGGGACTTTGGTTTTTGTTTCTGACCACCTTAAATAATCCTCTTGTTGCCACTGGCCATGTTACAAGGGGAAAACAAATTCACACCTTAACACATCACTATGGAAAAATTCTGAGAGAGTTAACACCAATTTGGGTTCTAAAACTTCTCTCCAACCTAATTCAGATTGAGGTTATAATCTATTATTGCTGCCAAGCCAAATAGCAGAAACTGCACCTACTATTTACTGAAGACTCCTCTTCAGACGTCATGCTAACCATGAAACCATCATCCTATTTTAATACTCACAACAATATTATCTCCACTTTGAAGAAAAGGAAATTGACTATTTTGGAGTTGTTCAAGGTTACATATCTAAGAAACAACAATGGGATCAACTAAAGCTCTCATCTGTGCTCAATCAGCTAGAACTAAAGAAATAAATCTTTTATCTATTCTAGTGTAGAAAAGAAAGAATAATTGATATAAAGTTCACTTTTACCATTTTCATGAAACAACCACCAAAAGACTTTTCATGGAAAAGAATTATGTCATTTAATGACACAAGGAATTACATTATTACATTATTATTACAGAGGTACAGGATGTAATAAAAGGTGAAAATCACTCATGTATGTTCCCACTCCAGTTTCACCGCTCAAAACCTCATACTCTGGTGTAAAAGAAGGATGTCATAATTCACCTAGTACACGTCAAGATTCTCTTGTTATAAAATGATACTTAAATATGATAAAGGAATTAATGATTTAAGATTTTTAATGAAATATATAAAAATAACAAACAATGAAGATATGTTAGTCATAAACCTTGTTAAATAATTATATTTGGTACATTTCTGAGAAGAGAATGAATAGGCAATTTATCTGTAAATGTAGAAAAGACAGTTTGAAGGTTTCAGATGTTATAATCCAGTTGAAGACCATGATTACTACTACAACTTACCACAACAGACCTTGGCATTGCTGGCTTAAATACCGAACAGAATTCCAGTAATCTTTTCTCATAGTATTTGCAGAGGATCATTTCTTCATGAGTCTCAAGAAAGACTGGATCATTTGGAAGAACCTTTACATTAAAAAAATTCAAATTCAGTGAATTTAACAGTTTTAAAAATGTGTTTTTCTGCTCAGATTAAATTTAGGTTATGCCTTCAACCAAAGGGAAAGTATACCATGCCCCATTTTTCTGATTGTTCTTGTGCTGTAATGAGCTATATGATGTACTATTAACCACAAAGACTTGAGGGTTGGAATCCACTACCTGTTCTGAATGAACAGCTCAGATTAGCAGTTCTCTACCTAAAAGATTTACAGTTGTGGAAACCTGATGGACAACCACCATGAACTGATACCAACTTGACAGCAGTGGGAAAATAATTACATAAAATAGCTTGGGGGAAAAAAAAATATACCATCACATAACAATTCCTCAAAATGCCAGTTGGTATATATTTCATTAAGGTATAAGCAATAATGATGGCATGTGTACATTTAAAGATTTAAGGCTAAAACGTATTAAAAAGATACAGGTAGTAGCAGAAAACCAGCAAATGTCTTAAGGATAACTGTGAGCCTTAAAATATTAACTCTTAGCTATTGCTGTGAACCTACAGAATAGATGGTTTCTACATACTATAATTGTATATTAACTAGGTGCTAATTTTGAAGACATTGCTGCATTGTATTCTAGAGCAGAAAGAGTCTATTTGGGCTCAAATCCTCATTTTACCACTTACTGACACTGGAGCACTGAGAAGTTATTTGACCTCTCTGCATCTCAAATTGTTCACCTATAAAGTGAACATAAGTTATCTTTATCATGTCTTGAGCATTTCATGAGGCCAAAACTCTGTCAATAGTGTCTGACATAAAGTATAAAAGATATCTATAAGCGAAACTCATTCAATGCCATTGAGTCATAGCTGACCCTCCTGTGAGTTTTCAGAGACTGTAAATCACACAGTAAGAGACTACCGATCTTTCATTAATGGAACAGCTGGTAGAGTGGAACTGCTTGCTTTGGACTGGCATTAGACTTCCTTACCCACTAAAGCACCAGAACTTCCTGAAAAAAAAATACACACATGTGCAGATGACATAATCCTGCTTGCTCAAACTGAGGAGGAACTGAAGCGCTTGCTACAGAAGGTGAAGGACTGCAGGCTTCAATACAGACTGAAACTAAATATCAAGAAAACAAAGATTCTCACTACTGGCAGCATCATGATAGATGGTGAAGAGACTGAGATTGTTCACAGCTTTCACTTGCTTGGCTCCACAAAAAAACACTCTTGGCACCAGCAACCAGGAAATTAAAAGACATATTGCAATGGGAAAGTCAGCTGTCAGAGACTTCTCCAAAGTACTGAAGAGCAATGATGTCAGTCTGGAAACTAAGGTGCACCTGATTCAGGCCATGGTCTTTGCAATCATTTGCTATGCATCAGAGATCTGGACAATGACTAGGGAGGATAGAAGGCAAATTGATGCCTTTGAGCTGTGGTGTTAAGAGAGTTTTGAATATACCATGAACTGCTAAGAGAACGAACAGCTTTGTCCTGGAGAGGGTGAAACCAAGCTGTTCCCTGGAGGCAAGGATTCCGAAACTCCGTCTGACATACTTTGGACCAGTCCTTGGAGAGAGGTCATTCTTGCGGGGGTGGAGGGACAGAGCAGGAAAAGATGACCCTCAATGAGGTGGATTGATTCAGTGACTGGAGTAATGGGGGTGGGTGTATCAGAGACAATGGGATTGGCATAGGATAGGGCAGGGTTTAGGACTGTTGTACATAGGGTCACTATGAGTCACAGGCAACTCGATGGCACAGAACAACAATAAATTTATATATATAAAATACCTGTTACTTGAACCATTCACCAGTAACAGTTACACATGCCAGATGAAAAAAGTCCAACTAACCTTTTTTTTAAATTGTCACAGAACTGCACTAAGGTATGAAGATGGTAATAATGGAGGGTTAGAGAAAGAAAGGAAGACCCTCACTCAACAAGATAGACACAATGGCTGTAACAATGGGCTCGAGTGTGGCTGAGATCATGAGAACAGGCCAGGACGAGGACAAGTCTGTTATTTATATAGTGACTATGAGTCATAGTCAACTTGATGGCATCCAATAAAAACAAAATCCCTAAGATATATAAGGGAATCTCTGTTGGTATGAACTCTGGTGATAAGGAGTTGTGCTGCCAACCCAAAGGCATGAAGTTTGAATTGGCAGATACTAGCCACGGTATAAAGATGGGCAATCTCCTCACCTATAATTTACATGCTCTGTAAATATGCTAGAGATTAAGTTACAAGTTACTTCTGACTGGACTATGCATAACATCTGGTGGTGTAGTCCATAGCAACTTATGCCAAGCCAAAGGCCACATCTCACTTAAGATTTTAATCCAGTGGCTTCCCAATAGAAAGATGTGCAATCTCCACCTGTTTGTTCTCCTAGCAGTCCAGGGTATACTCAACACTCTTCTCCAGCACCACAGCTCAAAGGCATCAATTCTCTTTCTATCATCCCTATTCACTGTCCAACTCTCCGACGCATAACACATAATTGCAAAGACTATAGCCTGGATCAGGCGCACTTTAGTCTCCAGCCTGACGTCGTTGCACTTCAGTACTCTTTAGAGGTCCCTCACAGCTGACTTTCCCAATGTAATTTGTCTCCTGATTTCCTGGCTGTTGTTACCAAGAGTGTGGACTTGTGGAACCAAGTAAACAAAAACTGTTAACTACCTCAATCTCTTCACCATCTATACTGATACTGCCAATTGGCCCAGTGGTCAGAATCTTTGTTTTCTTGATATTGAGCTTCAATCCATATTGAAGACTGCAGTCCTTGACATATATACATATTATTGTTGCTATGTGTCACTGAGTCACCTGCGACTCATAGTGACCCTATGTACAATAGCTCTGAATCCTGTTCCATATACTATTTTTAAAACAACAACAACAAAAAAACCCCAAAACCAAACAACAAATCTATTGCTGTACAGGGGGAACCCTAACTCAAGGTGACCCTCTATAAGGCTTCACAGCTGTAAATCTTAATGGGCTCAAACTGCTTTATCTTTCTTCAAAGAGGTCCTCAAGTGCATTCTATCAGTGACCTCTTGGTTAGCAGCCAAAAACATAACCTAATATGCCACCGGGCACCTTCACTTATAAAAGCTTTGAAGGATTGCACTGCCAATCCAAAGCTTTGTGGTTCGAGTCCACCGGGTGCTTCATAGGACAAAGATGGGCAACCTAGGGGGTGATTTATTGCCTCGGAAAACCCACTACGAGGTCAGTTCCGACTTCACGGTACTCAACACCATCATACACAAGTATACACTATATAATACAGGAGAAATTTAGTGGGGTGAAGCAGTCATAAAGATAAAAGTATGCTCAGTGACAATATATCTGAGATGCCAAGAAATTATTAAAAGGAAGCTTGTTCTATGAGGGGTGGTACTATGAAAATGATTAGGGTAATGACGGGAAGCTGTAATCGAAAGGACTAGGCTGGCAACACATGGTACAGCACTTCTTTAGGTAATAAGTTGACGCCAACCATCTGCTTTCTTGCCTTCACTCTGCTCCGTATGATTCCGGAATATACTGTTTCTAAAACAAGGATCTGATGAAGTAAATGTCTTTCTATGCTACTAAGTATAAAGCTCAAACTGCATTCTCTCTACCTACCGTCTCCAGCCACTTCTCACACACGTATTCTACTCTCACCTAAGAAACCACGAGCATGCCACAGATCCTCCTCATATTCCACTAGTGGCTCTGTTCACCTGAAATACCCTTTCCCCATCTTCTCTTACTGAATGAAGCCTTTACCGATGAGTTTCCCGCAGAGCAAGTGGTCAGCTCTCGCTTCCCATTGACGGCATCCTACTTAGTCTCTTTGGCACGTTACAAGAATTAGTTACTTCGCTGCCACTCCACTAGGCGTTGTACGCACCTGGAAAACCACTAGCCCACCTCCTGAAAATAAATACACTCGGCGCCGGGGAGGCAGGAACTACAGGGATGAAGAACTGCGTAAAGGCCCGAAGGCTCCGCAGCTTCTCCGGGTGGAGGGGTCGAGGCAGAGGAACAGCTGCCAGAGTCCTTACCTTCCCGTTCGCCACCGCTTTGCATTTAAATTTGCGATTGGCGTCGGCCCGAAGTCGTGCTATTTGCTCTTCACTGGCGAAAGTCCAGTGCCGCTTCTGGCTACTATTATGGTACATTGTGGAAGGTGAGGTCAGACGCCCGGCACCCAACGAGGAGACTACTCAGAACGATGACGTTCGCCGGCACAAGAAGCTCCTCCGGAAGCAACCAGCGGCAGATCTTCGGCGCGGGACCGATGGCGTCACGGCCACGTGACAAATCCAGTGTTGTTTCGGGAGCAAACGGGGCGGGGAACTTCCAGCTTCCGGGAGACTCAAGTGGGCAGGCTCTATGCTAAGGGACGTGCGCGTGCGCATCTTTGCCCCTCCAGGTCAAATAAAAGAAAAAGCAGCCTGGCAAACTCATGCTACCGTTTCAATTCAATATGTACACCCAGCTAATTATTCCAGAAACTGGACTTTATGAAGAAAAATGTGGCATCTGGATTGCAAGGAAATTAATCACCAATCTTTGTTACGCAAATGTATAACTAACCTTCACTGCTGAAAGTGAAGACAACTTGCTGCAAAACGTCAAAAACTATAGCCTTCAATATGGTTTAAATCTCACGATCAAGAAAACAAAAATCACACTAGACCAAAAGGCAACATCAGAATAGAGAGATAAAGGATAGTAGTTGTCAACGATTTCATTTTACTTGTATCCACAAACAGCACCTACGGTAATAGCAATCAAGAAATCAAGACATACAGCACTGGGGACATCTGTTGTCAAGGACTCCTTCAAAGTGATGAAGAGTAATGATGTCACTTTAAAGACTAAGGTACACCTGAGCCAACCCATGTTATTTTCAATTAAATCTTATGAATCTGAAAATTGGACAGTGATTAAGGATGACAAAGAAGAGTTACAGTGTTGGAGAAGAGTACTGAATATCTCTTAGAACTGACTGACAAAAGAAGAAAGATATCTCTCTTGGAGGAAGTGCAACCTGGGTGCTCCTTAGAACCAACTTAGTGTGACTCACTTTGGGCATGTTACAGGAGGGCTAGTCCTTAGGGAATCATGCTGGGAAAGATGGAGAGACAAAGAAAGGAAGAACGTCAACAAGATGGTTTGACACAGTAGCTGTATATCAGGGATTGTGGCACAGGATAAAGAAAATTTCGTATCGGTTCTTTATAGTCACTCTAAATTGTAATTGACTTTATGACACCTAATAACAACAACAGTCAGGCAGGCTTTCTGAAAGGGAATTATTTTGAAGATAAGTGACTGATGATAATAATCCATAAGGGGTAACCAGAAATGGGAGAATGGGTAAAAAGAATAGGTTCTTGAATATCACTTTCTTGAGCCACATTTAAGCCAAGAATTGGAAGAACTGTGAATGAAGTAGATGGAACATAAAGAACATTATAAAGGTGTTTAGACAAAAGTGATCATGATTATTTTAAGGAAGAACATAGTGGCCTGTATGCTTGGGGCACTATGCTGCATTTCTGTTAGTCATATGGAAAGCTGTTGATTTTTATTGTTCTCCCATTAACATGACTTTCTTTCTGTGACTTTTTCTTTCCCTATTTTTGGCAACTAAACAGTCCTGCCCTACTATTTACAGCTCTGAGGTTAGGGTGTATGGTAATTTTAGAGTTCACTCTTGCTACTGAGGGCCCTCACAATAATAAGCTGTCATATTTCTTTATGAGAGTAAACCTGCTAAATAAATTGCTAGTGGTTGTTATGTGTTGTTGAGTCTCCTGCAACTCATAGTGACCCTATGTACAATAACTCTGAACCCTGCCCTATCCTGAGCCAATCTCATTGTCTTTGACAATTGTCTTTGACCTAAGGCGCATTGCCATGGGAAAGTCTGCTGTTAGGGACCTCTCCAAAGTACTGAAGAGCAATGGTGTCTCTCTGGTGACTTAGGTGCATTTGATACAGCCCATGGTCTTCGCAATCACTTTTTATGCATCAGAGAGTCGGACAATGACCAAAGAGGATAGAAGGAGAATTGATGCCTTTGAGCTGTGGTGCTGGAGAAGAGTGTTGAGAATACCATGGACTGCTAGGAAAACAAACAGATTCATCCTGGAAAGGGTTAAACCGGGTGGCTCCTTGGAGGCAAGGATTCTGAGGCTCCGTCTAACATACTTTGGACATGTTGTGAGGAGAGACAGGTCCTTGGAGAAGGACATCATGCTTGGGAGGGTGGAGGGATGGAGCAGGAGGGCAAGGCCCTCTATGAGGTGAATTGATTCAGTGACTGGGATAATCGGGATGGGAGTGTCAGAGATGGTGCGATTGGCACAGGACAGAGCAGAGTTTAAGGCTGTTGTACATAGGGTCACTATGAGTCACAAGCGACTCGACTGCACATAACAACAACAACAACAATTCCACTTCTCTAGTCACCGAGTTAATGCATCTCATCTTGGTTCTTCTTATCCTGTGCTGTGTCCCTCCATCCTTCTAAGCATGATGTCCTTTTCTATGGACTGATTCTTCCTGACCACATGCTCAAAGTATGTCAGGTGGAGCATCAAAGTCCTTGCCTCCAGGGAGCAATTTGGTTTCATCCTCTCTTTGGTTGACCTTTTTGTTCTCCTGACAGTCCACGCTATGTTGAACACTCTTCTCCAGCACCACAGCTCAAAAGCATTGATTCTTATTCTACCATCCTTAGTCATTGCCCAGATCTCTAACTCATAGCAAGTAATTGTTAAGACCATGGCCTGGATCAGATGCACCTGACATCATTGCTCTTCAGTATTTCAGAGAAGTCCCTGACAACAAACTTTCCCCACGCAATTTGTCTTTTGATTTCCTGACTGCTGGTGCCAAGAGTGTTGATTGTGGAACCAAGCAAACTGAAGTTGTTAACATTCTCAATCTCTTCTCTGTCTATCAAGAAACTACTAAATTGCATTTAAGATCCAAAATTTGCATAAGCTTTGAAACCTTCTAGACTAAGCTGTGTCTGATCCAAGTCATGGCCTTTTCAGATATGTATTGTCCATCTGAAAGTTGGACAATGATTGCAGGAGAAGAATCAATTGCTTTAAGTTGTGGAGTGTGAAAAAAGTGCTGAATGCTCTTTTCCATGGATAACAAGCTAAAAAACAAACAAGTGTGTCTTAGAGAAAGAACGACCAAGGTGTGCTTCGGTGAGGTTTCGTCTCACATACTTTGGACATGTTGTTAGGAGGAATCGGCCCTTGAAGGATATAATACTTGGAAAGATGAAAGTTCAGCTTAGAAAATGAAGATCTTCAACAAGAGGTATTGACACAGTGACTGTAACATTGACTCAAGTGTATCAGAGATGGTGATGGTGGCACAAGAAGGACCAGGTTCAGATCTGGTATTCACAGGATCTCTTTGAGTAGTAGTCAACCCAAAGGCACATAACAACAACAACAACAACAACAACAACAGTGATTTTGATGTTTGTCGAGTGTAATCCTAAACTACTGTAAAGTCAAGTCCCAACTAATAGATACTTTATGTGTTACAGAATAAAACAAGGGTCTTTTAAGTTGTCTTGGCTATAATCTTTACAGAAATATATTACCAGACTTTTATTCCACAGAGTCAATGACTGAATTGAAATACCCAACTTTTGGTTAGTTGATAGGTACAGTCAGATTGGCCTAGACTCACAGCACATTTATGGATATCAGAACAGAACACTTCTCTATCCTACGTCATTCTCACACTCTCTCTGTGCTTAAACTCATTGTTGCAGTGTGTCAATCAGTCTCATTAAGGGTTTCCCTTTCTTTAGCTGACTTTTTATTTTTCCAAACTTTATGTCCTTTTCCAGGCACTGACCCTTCTAGATAGCTTTTCCTAAGTATGAGATCTTATCATCCTTACTTCAAGGGTACTCTAGTTGCATGTCTTCCAAGAAATATCCATTTATTTTTTTGGCAGTTCATAATATATTCAATACTTTTTCATCAACATCACAATTCAATAGTATTTCTTTTTTATTTTTTTAATTAATTGTCCAATTTTCTCATGCATGTGAAGTAATGGCTTCGGTGGTTTTTGTTGTTGTTGTTATGTGCCATCGAGTCGCTTGTGACTCATAGCAACCCTATGAACAACAGCCCTAAACCCTGCTCTATCCTGTGCCAATCTCACTGCCTCTGACACACCCATCCAGATTACCCCAGACACTGAGTCAATCCACCTCATAGAGAGTCCTCCCCTCCTGTGCCGTCCCTCCACCCTCCCAAGCATGTTGTCCCTCTCCACGGACCTGTCACTCCTTACAACATGTCCAAAGTATGTCAGACGAAGCTAAAGAATCCTTGCCTCCAAGGAGCAGCCTGGTATAACACTCTCCAGGATGAATCTGTTTGTTTTCTTGGCAGCCCATGGTACATTCAATACTTTTCTCCAGCACCACACCTCAAAGGCATCAGTTCTCCTTCTATACTTCCTAGTCATTGTCCAACTCTCTGATGCTTTCAGCTAAGATCCATCTAACATCAGCTACAATATCCCTAGAACCACAAACCCTTCTAAAGCCAGCCTGGACTTCTGGCAGTTGTCTGCTGATGTGCTGTTCCAGTCGTTTTTGGATAATCTTCAGTAAAATCTTGCTTGCAGCTAGAAAATCAAAAGATAAATTGCATTGAAATGCACAATTCCCTCCTCTTTGGCTTTAATTGTTGTTGCAAATATCTGAATAATAATCATGCTAACTGCTATTTCTTCTACGGACACGATCCTATCACTCACAACATTGTACTTTAGGTTGTTGTTGTTGTTGTTGTTATGTGCCATCAAGTCGTTTGCGACTCATAGCGACCCTATGTACAACAGCCCTAAACCCTGCTCTATCCTGTTTGTTTTCTTGGCAGTCCATGGTACATTCAATACTCTTCTCCAGCACCACAGCTCAAAGGTATCAATTCTCCTTCTATCCTCCATAGTCATTGTCCAACTCTCCAATGCATAACAAGTTATTGCAAAGACCATGACACCGTTGCTCTTGAGTACTTTGGAGAGGTCCCTAACAGCAGACTTTCCCATTGCAATACATTTTTTTATTTCCTGGCTGCTGGTGCCAAGAGTGTTGACCGTGGAGCCGAGCAAACTGAAGCTGTGAACAATCTCAATCT